GTTGTGCTGCAGAGCCAGCATGTGCAGTGGGCCGTGTTTTGGGGTCTGGGTGTATCAGGAATGAAGGAAACTCAGAGATTTGAAACACTGGAGTAGAAACAGGAGTGAAATGAATAGTCCCATCAAAAGCCTAGTCAGAATAAACATAGTAAAATTCTGAGCTGTTTCTGCCCATCCTAGACGTGCTCTATTCATTGTTTTCCTTGGAGCTGGCACTTGGGCATGAGCAGCATTTTCTTACAGGTGTGTAGGAGCCAGTTGCAGATGTTCTGGGTTTGTAATTTATAACGGCACTGGGGAATCTTTTAGTAGTCTGTAACTCTGAAAAACCCTTCCATGATGCATTTCCCCATAACTTCTTTTTGTTAAGGGTGACAATTGCTAAGCTGATGGCTCCTTTTTGACTGACAGCCCCCAGATTTCCTGAGCTGCTGCTGCTCTTACTCTGCAGCTTGCAGCCATTTTCCTTAAATGCAGAGTTTTTAACCAAGTTCTCTTTCTATTGCACATGCATAATTTGCTGTTGGTGCAAATTTAATTCACATTTTTAAGAAGACACTACCTAGTCTTCACCAGAACTGTGCTCGGGCATGGCACATTTTGGGCAAAACGTGATCCAGGCTGATTATTCCAAGCTTTCATGTGGTGGTAAAAGAGTTGCATGTTCTAGACTGTAAATGACCAGTAATTTTGTTCCTGAAAGTGTTCATCTCGTCATTATCTTGCTAGAGTTGTTTCCCATAGAATCATGGAATCCCAGAATGGTTTGGGATAGAAGGGACTTAAAGCTTATCCTGTTCCACCCCCTGCCATGATCAGGGACCCCTTCTATTGGACCACGTTGTTCCAAGCCCCATCAAACCTGGCCTTGGACACTTCCAGGGATGGGGCAGCCACAGTTTTTCTGGGCAACCTGTGCCAGAGCCTCACCACCCTCACAGGGAAGAGTTTCTTCCCAACATCTAATTTAAACCTAATCTTGAAACTTCAGTGGTTCTGGGACTTTCATTTTAATAATGCAACATAGCAGGAAGGGAGTGTGGTGGTCCCTGTCCCTGTTCTCTTGGCTGTCACAGCCTGGCCAGGGACTGAGGTGCTGGAGTGTCCGACTTGCCCGGCCCCGGGACCGTCCCATGCGGGAGGACAAGGGACCTGTGGGAATGGAGACCCCAAGACAGGAAAACCTCCCACCACCATAAACGTTGCCACACCCGGCTTTAGTGCAGTTTGACCCTTGAGCTGGGTTTGAAAGTCTCTGGTGAATGATTAACACTGAAATGGCTTTAGTTAAACAGCTTGATTTCTGCAGAGCTCGTTACTGGGGCTGCATCTTCGTTAAGGTTTTCCATTTTACCCTCTTCATTAAGGTTTTCCATTTTACCGACTTCGTTAAGGCTTTCCATTTTGCCCCCATATGTTTCCTTGACTGGAAATGATAACTATATCTATACAAATAAATAAAATCAGATTATATATAAATAGTTTTGAAAGTACGTGGTAATGGAACCCACGTAACAAGTAACACCTTGCCTCTCAAAATAAAATTTCGTCAAAGTTTTTGCAAATTTGGAACCCTTAAAATTTGGAGGTTTTTCCCCTCTCTCATCTATCATGCTTGACTTTTTTTTTTTTATTATTTTGATAAGGCTGATAGTTTAGTAGATTTTTGTTGCATTTAAAACCGTTTCTGCAAATACTGCAAGGTAGCTTTTCTATTATTATATTATCTCAGAGTGTAATTCCCCTGTCTTACCTCTTCCTTAGGAAGTGGTTGGTTGTCTTTTACTGCATATAACTTTATTAGTAAAATATTCGTATTAAACATCAGTCTGCTTAGTTGTGACTCTTGCAGGAGCCCTTGTGCATGATAATCCCTCCTGGTTGTGTTTTACAACTAGGGGCTGTTGGTGGCTGGCAGTTCTCCACACAGTTAGCAAATATTGCCCTTATCTGATACAGCCAGGCTGGGAAGATATGCCAGGAGCCTGGATTAGATTGCTGGCTACTGCTTTATTAATCAATGTAATAATTTATTTTTAGTTTTCTAAGTCATATCATCTGTTTTCTTTCTCATATTACACTTTCTGTGGTGCTGGTACAGAAAATGAGCCCTGTTTAAAAATTAAAGGTGATTGAAAAGTTTCATTGGAATATGTTTGGCACTGCCATGGTTTCCCTGACAGCTGATGAATGTTTCCTTAAAAATGCTTTTGTCAGAAACTTGAGAGGTATAAAGGGTTTTATTTTTGTATCTAAATTAGCTGTCTTCAAAATTATACATAGAAAGATGTTTCGATCTTATTCTGCTTTTAATCATTTTAATGAAGCAAAGTTCTCAAGTTATATTCCTTATTTAAACTTACAGGCTCCCAGCCTATACTTCAATACTTAGTCTGAAATAAGAAAAGGAGTGACTGGGCCTAAAACTTAAGAGAAAATAAGGCATCTTAGAGTAGCTCTTGACTGGCCAGGGATTATTGATTGTGGGAGGGGGGTTGTTTGGTTTTGGGGTAGGTGCTGGGGTTTTTTAGTTGGGATTTTTTGCATAAGACTCTACAAAGTGAAGAAACAATTCAGTTCTTTTTTCCAAATGGATCAGTAAGCTGGAAAAAAAAAAAAAAAAAAGAAAGAGAAAGTAATATATGTATCACATGAAAGTAAGGAAACCTCCATGCTTACAGTGTTCATTCCTAGAGGTCTCTGCACTTGAGGAAGGCAGACGTGCTGGGTACAAATCAGGATGAGCGTGTAATTAAAGATGCATGTTTGTAAGGACATCAAATAGAGGGAACTGGGTTGAATTACATTCCACCATTGCTTGGATGCTGAGGGCTGGATTGTGCAACCATAGGGTTTTATTAGACCTTTCTGTTCTTTAAAAGAAGAGAAATTAATTGGAAAACCCAGCAACGCCATCCCATGGCTCATAAACAGGGATACAGTCCATCAGTGAGCTGACAGACATGCTGATGGTGGTTGTCAGCCTCTTGGTAGAGTAATAGAGAAGTGCTGCAGCATTCCACAAATATTTTCTGAATGCAGAGGAGCAATGTGACAGATTTGAGCTCCATTCCAAGTTCTGGAAAGAAACATTCTTTCCTTTGGGAAAAGAGGGGCCTTTTTCTTCCCTTTTTCCTCAAGGCTTACTCATTCTCCTTCATTCCCACTGCTGGCCTTGCCTGTTGAGGCCTTTCCACCACCCTTTTTCTGCTCTGCTCTTCCCACTGTTCTTCTAGCGTGTTGGAGCTGTTGCAGTGCCCCTGTCCAGTGTTTTCTTTTCTGCTCAGCCCTCTACTGTGGCTGAGATACAGCTCAGCTCCTCTCCTAGCTCAGACACACTTTTTAGGGGGATCTACATGTATCCTACGTCTTTGCCTGCCTGTGTTCTCTCATTTTTTCCCCTAACCCAAGTAATTTTCACTTTTCTCTGCCCTCTGGTTCCGTTTTTTTCGAAGTGAGGACTTCATTGACACATTTATTCTGGTTTGACTTTGATCCCTCTGTATTTGAGTGGGAGCATTCCTGCTCCTTTTTATTGCCTAAATCCCTCTTGGAAAGAACAAACACGATGGCAAAGTCCTTTGAATTGCTAGAGGGCCATTTCTCAGGTACTGTGGGGATGGGACATATGGACCAGTTCAAAAGCAGAGACTCCCAGGTGTCGAGATGTTCTAATTTGGGCTGGAATTTAAGGTTTGTGTGAACATTTGAGAACGGGGTGGGGGGGGGGAGTTTGAAATGTGTGACCAAATCTGGTCAGACTTTTTTGAGGAGAGGTAAAGGAATTTTCCATGCAAAAGCTAGCCCACATACAAATGTTAAGCCCACACTGGGGAACGTGGATGGTCTGGAGAGTTTCCAAGCAAAGGCACCAAAGTCTTTAAAAAAGTGTCATTTTTCTAGCTTCATCTGGAGAGTGGCTGGAACCCTGGGGAACAGGATTTTCTGTGAAAAGCATTTTAAGTGAAGCAGACGGTACAGAAATTGCATTTTAGGAGTTTAAAACTCTGTTGGAAATCACATAATCACAGAATGGTTGGGGTTGGAAGGGACCTCTGGAGACCATCCAGACCAACAGCCCTGCCAAGGCAGGGTCACCTGGGGCAGGTGACACAGGAATGTGTCCAGGTGGGTTTGGAATGTCTCCAGAAAGGGAGACTCCACCCCTTCCTGGGCAGCTGTTCTGGGGCTTTGCCACCCTCCATGGAAAGAAATTCTTCCTCATGTTGAGGTGGATAAACTCAAGAAGCTGGGCCTTACAGGAGGTGTGGGGCAGCCTCCACAGCACTCCACAGCAGGGAGTGCTGTGGCTGGGGCTGTAGCTCAATAAGATCAACCTCTGAACTCTGGCCCAGCACTGCTGGCTCAGCCCTGAGGATTAGGAGCAGCTCCAGGGTGATTACGATGGACTGTTTGTTGTTCTAACAGGAATTTATTTTTTTTCTTAACGAACTAACCCTTCGTTTTTAGCTGGGCTGTGTGTTTACATTGGAAAACCAGGTCCTGATGTTAGGAATGTATATATGTTCTTCTCCTAAACTGCTGTGGTGAAGTGATCACTTGTTACTATGAATATTTATCAGTATATGGCCCAACTTGCACAGCTTCTTGCATAACAGGATCCCTGTAGAAAACTCGGTGATGGTGCTGGAAGCGGAGCCCTTGTGCAGATTGCGGGGAATGCGACAGTAATGGAAACAAGATGGAGTAAGAACGCGTTTTAAGAGTCAATTTTAAAGGCTGGGATAATTGTGCAAGAAACTTGGCTTCAGAAATGTGTAAGGGAAGGAGTCTTGACCCAGCCAAATAGGCCATGAAAAATCCATACAGTTTTCTTAGGTTTTACAGAATTTTTTGTTTAACTCATTCAAGAGTCTGGTGCACTTTGTGTGCAGAACTGTCCCGCTGGAAGGCGAGGGCAAGCCATTTCTGCAGGTACCAACGTTGTGTTTGCCTCTATCCCACAGATCTAAATGAAGTGTTTTTCTGCTTTGTTTCAGCCCTGGAATAAGATCAGATGTAAGCTCCTCTCCATCCACAACCTCAGCTACTACGGGACCACCTCCCAAGCTCTGTCTGGTGTGCTCCGACGAGGCCTCCGGGTGCCATTACGGGGTTCTGACATGTGGCAGCTGCAAAGTGTTCTTCAAAAGGGCGGTGGAAGGTAGGACGTGCTTTGATGAGTTTGCCGTTTAAAGATACGAAACTCCCTGTACATATCCTCCACGTTCAAACCATTAGATCACTGATCTTGTCATAGTAAATCACACTGATAATGGTCCATTATCCGAAGCGTGGGTTCCATTCACACTGATAAAATGCTCCTATTCAGTCCGTGTAAAAGGATTTATTGTTGTCTTGGCTTTTGTCTGTTTCATGTTCTTTCACTGTTGTTTTTGTTTATTTGTCCCATTTTTATACAGATATTTGTCTGTGTGCATTAGATTTGTAAAGTTTGTGATTTTTCAGTTGAAGGTTAGCTGGTCTGTACAGAAAATTGTACGTAAAAACTTGGTAAATCTGTTGTGTGTGAGGTTGTGACATTTTTGCAGTTCTTCTTGTAAGCAGTGTTGGTTGAACTGCATCCATGTCACTGTGTGAGTTGCAGGTATTTGGGTAGCAGGGACATGTGTGTGGTTTTGGAGCATTGAGATTTCTACCTAATTACAGAGAGAAAATCAGTGTAGAAGCTAGAGATGATAGAAAACTAAATGTGATTAATGGCTCAGTGATTCTGGGGCTGCATCAGTAGCTATTTTGTAATGGACTAGCTTGTACCTCAGGGTGTGACTCTTGACTTCAACATCAGATGCAGTAAAGTTGGAGCATATTCCCAGTGTCTCTTAAAGGATGGTGATTCCTGAGTTCTGAATAAGAATGTCATTCTTAGTTAGAGCCTCCAGGGTTTCCTGTCTCGTGGCTTCCTCGTGCATCCTCCACTGAACCAGACTCATTCTCTGCTGATGTTTTTGTAGGCTGGGATCTCTGGAGAAGAGGGAAGGCTGTTTGATCAAGACAAGCCATCTCTTCAGTCTTTAGAAGCAGCACTTTCCCCCAGTTCCCAGCTAAATGGGTGCCATGGGGAGCTCTGTGGAAGTGCAGAGCCTCTCAGAGGGACCGGAAAAGTCAAGTTCACATCACAGTTTTTGCCTGTCACAAGGGGAGGGATGTTGGCCCTGGGGGAGCTGAAGCTGTTCTGAAGTATAACGAGGCAGTAGGAGCTCAAGTGCAAAGCACTTTATTTAAAGCAGATAATCATCTGTGCCTTTGATTAAAATCAGGTCACTGGAGATCCCTCAGGAGACATATTATATGGCAGCTGGATATGTGACATAGCCATGATTTAGCCTGCTCTCAAGCTTAAATAAATCAGAAAAGTATTGATACAGGAAAGAACCAACCCAGTGATTCCTTCTGATCAGTGATGCAACTTGACTCATCGTATATCAGTTGTATTGGTATTAAAAATGTAAGCAGGCTTGTGGCTGAAAAATGGCAATCAGTTCCTCAAGGCTTAATTTGCTTCCATTTTTATTGTTCCGCAAATTATCCCACCCTTCACAGGATCACAGAATCATTTACATTGGAAAAACCCTCCAAGATCATCAGGTCCAACCTTTTACTGATCACCACCTTGTCAACTGGACCATAGCAGGAAGGATTAAGGGCCCTTAATCCTTCCATCAGATATCATGGATGTTTTCAGGAGCCCTTTCAGGATCTGTTAGTCCTGGTCTTCACTTTAAGGAACAAATAATTTGCTTTTGTCTTTTATAGGCTTTTTTTTTTTATTAGTAACACATGTAAAAGGAATTTGTTTCTGCAATATCCTTTTTATTAGTAGCTGCCAGGCACCTGTTAGTATTCAGATCAAGCTGACTCTGCACACTGGTTATCCAGCCTTTAGCCAAAGCCCTTTTTTCCACCTTTGCCTCCAAGCCTGTGGACTGTGACAGAAATAATCACAGAAACTGGAAGTGTCAGTGTCTAGAAAGTCCATATAAACTGTATTCCTTTCAGCAAAGAATAGAACTAGAGGAGAAGAGGGAGGATGAAGGTGGGAAAGCAACTATATATTTATGCACAATTCTTCACACAGACAGGCCTTCAGGAACCCAGAGAGGCCAGAGGTCTTGTTTTAGCTCTGATTTTCATGGTGTTTCAGAGTCTAGAGCCCTCGTGATCGAGTTTCTCCTGTCGCAGAACCAGCCCTTTTCACCTCCCAACACGTTATCCCAATATACCAACCTGGATCTTCAGCACTCCTCCCACCTTCGCTTCCTCGCCTTGGAGCAGATCTCACACCTCCCTCCACTGCAGATTCCCCCAACACCTCTCCCTCCTGCTGTGCTCCAGATTGGCTATCTTCGTCAGCAGTTTTAATTCCATCCTCCAGAGTCCTTTGTCTGCAAGTTCTAACCTTTTTATGGGGCTGCTAGGCTCAAATGAGCAAAGAGTTGTGCAGTGTCATAGAGCATCAGAGCCCCCGACACCGATGGACGCTGCAGACAGTGCGACGTTGTGGAATGGCCAACCTCTCTGTAAAATGCCCCTGTGTGCCCCAAATCCCCTTGGAAATATCTCCATTGGCTCACTACTGGTTTTTACCAGGGTATCTGTTAAGTATCTTTGGGTTTTGAGCAACAAAGAGAACTGAAGCGCTTTCCTTTGGCACGTCCTCTGGGCAGCACTCAGGCACAGAGATCAGTTTCCCTTCATTTTCCCACAAGATGTTCATGTGGCAAGAAGGCTTTAATATAATGTAATTCAAATAAACAGTGTAGCTTGCCTCCAGAAAAGGCAAGAATAGATGAGAGAAGTAAATAGAAGAAACCAAACCTTCATGGAGAGGAGCCTCTTTGTTAGGAATAAAATGGCACAACAGCTCAGGAAAATCTTCACCTGAAGTATCTGTATTGTTGTGTGAAACTGTGGTCTCATCAGACATCTTTGAGAGACATGGAATTGTAGTCTCTGCTCCTCTGCAGTGCTGACAAATTGTCATCAGTTTATATTTCTTGTGTGTGTACAGGTATATTTGTTTATATGTAGTAGGGTACTAATGGCAAACAGAATGGTGAGTCCTGGATCCTTTGTCTAGGTTGATTAAACACAAAGATTACACAAGGGTCAGGAAGGCTCCTCTTCCCCAAACGGAGGAGGTGGGAGAGTTCATTCAGAAAAATGTTCAGAGCTTCCTTGGAATATCCACTTGAGACACTTCACTGAAGAAGTTTCACCAAAGCCATAGGAATGGACTCTGCCTACCCATAATTTTCACAGCTGACTTGAAACAAATTCCTTACCCAAGCTGTTTTACTGTGAGAAGGCTCTTAAACTCTGTTGTTAATAACTCTGTATTTGGAAAATACATTTGTTTCTCACAATATTGTACTGTCAGGACTTTGCAATATGGTGTAAAAGCCCAGACTGCAGCTTTCTGCCCTGTAAAGAAATGTATTTCCTGATCCCTGTCTGGGAGAAGGATCTATCCTTTAGTAATACCTTTCCCTTAGTAAGTTATATGGAGGTATTTGGTCACATAATTCAAATAATTAGGACTATATGCTCTTCTCTTGCCATGCTCTTAACAGCTAAGAAATAGTTACTTAATTTCTGTAGTTCAGGTTGTGGTTTTAGGGTCACTTTTGCTCTAAATCTGTGAATCCAGAAAAACGTCAGAGAACTTGGTTTGTCCAGGTCAGGCTGCAAGTTAAACACGGAGAAGGTTTCATGACTTGCAGACTGATGAGGCTGTGTCTGTTCTCTGTAGAAATCTGTCCAAGTGTATTCTCAAGATGTGCTTGTGAACGTTATTTATGCCTCTTGTCAAACTATTTAGAGAAATGGGAAACCTGCTGTAGAAAAAACATTTGGTAAATGTAAGGGAGAAACAGTTTTAAAAATAGAAGCCTGATACTAACAAATCAAAAATAGGATTTTGAACTAAATTTATTGGCTTTGGGGTCTAATTATGAGAAATCTGTTTGGATATGTGAAATCAGATGTATATTGATATTTTTGCAAGACATGGAGTGCAGTAGGTAAAGGTCTTACATCGTCCCCAGACCCTTAATGACTGAAGGGATGAATGGCTTCAGCTACTGCTCTACATGGGGAGCTTACAGTTGCTTTGCTTTTGTGCACACAGGGCAGCACAACTACCTGTGTGCTGGGAGGAACGACTGCATAATTGACAAAATCCGGAGGAAAAACTGCCCTGCGTGTCGCTACCGGAAATGTCTGCAGGCTGGCATGAACCTTGAAGGTAACCGTGTGTCCACATCCCTGCTTTGGGTTGAAATCCTACCCAATACCCAGTAAAGGCCAGGCTGCTTAGGAAACAACGATTGGAGCAGCACTTTATTATGTTAAAAGCAAGTGCTGCATTTCATGAGCATTTTAACGAGAGGCAGGAGGTTCTCGTGCTGTTTCTCCTGTCTGTGCTCGGTTGCTCTGTCTGTCGGTGTGTTCAGTTAGAAGTGAGTCATACACACAAGCCGGGATTATTTTTTATTCCTGTCAGCACAGATATATATATATGTATCGTTGCTTTCTCGTGGAATATGAGACAGGAGAGTTCTTGGGGAACACCTGGAGGGAAATGAAACACCTGCAAGGAGATGTGCTGTCTGCCCATCCTCACTCAGGAGAGTGACTTGACACTGAAACCAGTGGGGCAGGAGTGGGGATTATATCTTCAAACCAAAGAAAATGGAAGTATTTTTGTTGGTGCTGTGGATTCTTCCTAAATACCTGTCAAAATCTCTCTAGAAAAGGTCGGTTAAGTAAATAAATTTAACGTACCAGTACATAGTTGTTCTCTGCTGAGTCCTCAATGACTTGTGAGAATCTGAAGGCCATGTCAACTAGAGATTTAGCAGCAGTTGTAAAATGGCATAAAACACTTTTATTAGTGTCAGCTACATTTTATGCTCGCTATTTTTCCATGAGCAGCAGAGATTAACACAGTACTTCCTAACACAGTTATCCATGTGGTACTTGTAAAATGAAAATTGTCAGATAAAATGAAAATGTCAAAAATATATTTGTCAGCTCCCAAGGATGAACAGAATTCCATTTCAGTCAGTGATAATATCCTTTGGTAAGATGTAAGTGGTGAATTAAGTTAAAGAGAGAGATGAAGCACATGCTGGAGTCCATGTTAGCACGTCCTTTCTTCCTCCTCTGCTTCCAACCTCCTTCAGCAGGATGGAGCACCAGGTTTTCTGTGCTGCAGGTGCCTCGATCTGCCCCTTCCTTCAGAGCAGAGGGAACAAAGCTGAGGGTCTGCAGTGCTCTAAGACCCACTTATAGGCCCATCCCCTCCTTCAGGATGGAGATTTGCTGGAGGAAGGGATGTTGCTGCTGGGTTTGTTACCATGATCTGTGTGCAGGATGGGAAGGCACAGCCAAGATCTACAATAGTGGGGTCTAAAATAAATCCCTAAAGCACATGAGGTCATCAGTGAGTGTCTCCCAGGAGCTGGATTTAGGTTTTGGCCACTCCCAGTGGGCTGGACCTCACACTTCAGAGATCAGAGCAGGACAGATCTCTTGCCTACTCTCGGTACCCACTGGGGGCAGGTCACTGTCCTGCTGGGACTGGTGTGGCTGGCAGCAAAAACAGGGAACAGCAAAGACTGAAGACAGTTTAAATTATGCAAAACCCCAGAGTTTTTGCTTTGAGATGGAAAAGAATGAGTTTTGGTTTAAGGCTTGTTTCTGTTTTTATTCTTCATAGTTGTTTTCAAAATACATCTATGATATTCATGTATTTATTTTTAAGAATGAAGCACTTCATTAGGTATAGTATTGTGGTAGTAAGATATAGTGCTCTCATAGTAAGCCTTTCCCTTCCTGCATCAGTTTGAGTAGACACCAATATCGCTGTGTTAGGACACAGAATCAGAGAATCATGGAATGGTTTGGGTTGGGAGAGACTTAAGCTCATCTTGTTCCACTCCCTGCCATGGGCAGGGACATTTCCAGTAGACGAAGGTTGCTCCAAGCCCTGTCCATCCTGGCCTTGACACGTTGAGTGGCCCCTCTGCAGCAAAGAAAATGAAATGGAATGACATCGGATGTTTGCCACTTCTCCGCTTGTAGGTTGGAGCCCTTCCAGTGTAGTTTGTCTGAATTCTGGCACAGAGAATCCTAGAGAATAGTGAGGTTTGGGAGGATGGAGATTGTTATGTAAGTTGCTGGAGAAGGGCGGGGGGCGGGGAAGTTTTTATATCTGAGAGGGAAAAAGAGTCTTGAAATTCAGCAACACTAAAGTGGAAGAACTCGGAGCAGTGTGAAAGGGTGAAAAACACCCTGAAAACAAGGATTTTTGGGACAGATCTGAACAGATGGGGAATAGGTCGTGCAGAAAAGCAAACTGGGAGGCAGCATAAAGTGCAGCAGAGACTAAAAAGCAGTTTATTTTATCTTGTCTATTTTAGGGTCACAGTTCAGAAATTACTGTTGTTTAAAAGAGAATTAAATTTGCATACTTTTTAGACAGTCATTTCTTTTTGACAAATCCCTTGCTGCACCCTCAGTGCATAAATAATGGTTATAGCAAACCGGTGAGTGACCAAAAGAGATCTCAATATCCAGCCTGTCGGTTCTTCAGCCCCTTTCACTCACCTGATGTGCTGCTGGACTTCTTCTGTGAACCCACCCCAGCACATACTGAGGGTATCTCAGTTTCTAATACCTACAGTGGACTGCGCTAATGTATTTTAAAAGAAATTTAAATCCTGACCTTTTCCTGTCCTGAGATAAAAGTGGCTTCTTCTACCTTAGAAAAATATTACTTGCTGATTTTCTATTGGCCTTTTTTATCACAGAATCAGTAAGGTTGAAAAAGACCTCCAAGATCATCAAGTCAAGTCATCCCTTTGGCCCTGCTTATCACCCTTTTCTAGAACTTTCTTTATTCTATTGCATGTTTTTTTGGGCATAGGGGACTGGAAAAAGAATCAAACTATCAAGCTGCAGGTACCAGAGAGTTACACAGCAGAATAATGATATTTTGTACTCCAGCCTTTATTTCCTTGAGTTCTCATTTCCGCTCCCACCGTTAATTGGTGTTCTTTGGCACCCTTTCTCTTTGTGATGTGTTGGAAGAAAAGATTTATTGTTAGGTTTTATGCCTGTAAAAAGTTGTCTCATAATTTTTTTGGCTTTTCATGCTGCTTTTTACTAGCTAAACTTGGCAATTTATGAGTTTTTTCTGCAGTCTTCACTTGGAATTTATTTCAGATTTTTGAAGGATCGTTTCTTCTTTCTAATCCCATTCCTTGCCCTGCTGTAACCACAGTGGGCTTATTATAAATCTCAGTTCAGCAGGAAAGTACCTGGCTGTCTGGGGTGGTGGTGGCAGGTCCGTTGCCCACCTGGCTCAGGTGCAGGACCATCTGCCCACGGGGCAGGGAATAGGAAGCCTGTGCAGCCTGGGTGGATGCCAGACTGTAGGAGGTTGGGGGTGGTTTGTTTGTTTTTAACAGAAAATTTTGGATGCTTTTCTCTCCGTGCTGAGTTTATCTGTGGGGGTTATCTCCTGTAACGTGCCCTAAGGAGCTGGGGTTAAATTAGTGGTCTTTTTATATTTGAAAATAAATTATAAAGCAATACATTATCTCAACCTTCTTTTTTTTTTTTTTGTGAGTTACAGTTATATATCTAAGTCAAGGCTAGTAACACAGCCTAATAAAAATTCTTGCATAATAATTCACCTTATCAGATCTATTTATTTTGATTATAATTTTATTAGGCTTTCTGGGCTGGAAGTACTCCATCCAGGTGTCTGCAGGAAGCTGAAGGCATGTGCTTCTAAATTTAAGTCAAAGCAGTTCATTTGCTCCTCAGAACATGGATAATGGGGCAAAAAACAACAGAACGTGCAAAGGATTTTGGAGCAGCCATTTCAAAATTAAGGCAATAACAAGAAGCTCTTTACTCCAAGGAAATAACTGTTGCTAATCCCCTATGGCAGGTTTGGCATATGTAGCCAGTCTGCAAATATTTGGGAAAATGCAATTTATGCAAGATCTGTAGAGAATTCCTTGTGTTTAGCATTTGGTTTCTGAGGGCCATGTTGTAGCCAGTGGGTCCAGGAGGGATTTTCATGTGTTGTTACACTGCAGGGTTGGTGCATTTTGGATGCTGAGAGATTCTGAACGGGTCCAGAGGAACTTTGAATGTGAAACCACATTACGTGATGCTTTTATGGGCTACTGATTTATCTCAGAAGTTCCAGAGCAGAAATCAATTAATTAACTGAGGCACACAGGGAAACAACTGGTTTCATTTGGTCTCTGTTAAATAGCATGTTCTGTGTGGCCACCTCCATCCAGGAGAGCCAGAGCCAAGCAGGAGACTCCATTATGGACAAGATGCTAATAAAATTGTTGCTCCAAGTTTTTGTAGTTTACAGTTAACCTCTCTGTGTGATGTTTTATTTATTTGGCGAACGAGTTTTATGGTTTAATTATGCAGCAGTGATTTATATGCAGGAGAAACTGGCAAGAGAAAAAGCTCCTCCTGCCCAGCATTTTCAAAAAAAAAAACAACCCTGTTTTCCCTGGCTCACCAGATCCAGTAATTTCTTACCCATTAAATGTATTTTTTTTTCCTTTCTTTTGCCTGGTTCCTATACTTAATATCTTCAGGAAATGCAAATATTTCCAATGGTAGGATTTGGCCTTGTATTTTAGGATCAGCCTTGTAAGGTACCTGCAGACATTACTGAACATTTGGAAACAGTAACATAAATGTGACTTTCATTAAAATGTAAAGCAAACTTACTTTCAATGGAGTCTCAGTTAGAATTCATGTGAAGTTATTTACTTTATGCACAAATGCTGTGCAGGTTTCAGTGGCCTGGTCCCAGCTGCAGGGGAAAGGAGGGGAGAGGAGGGAAAGCAGCATTTCCTCTGCTGTGTTTTTACTGCTGTGTGGTCACTTTCCATCATCTCACCTGTGGCTTACCCAAACATTCCTAGCTCGAAAAACAAAGAAGAAGATCAAAGGACTGCAGCAGGGAAGTGCCACGGGAACACGGGATGCTCCCGAGGCATCCGGGAACAAGAGCATCGTCCCCGCGTCGCTGCCGCAGCTGACGCCAACGCTGGTGTCGCTGCTGGAGGTGATCGAGCCCGAGGTGCTGTACTCGGGCTACGACAGCACCCTGCCCGACTCCAGCTGGAGGATCCTCTCCACCCTCAACATGCTGGGAGGGCGACAGGTGGTGGCTGCAGTCAAGTGGGCAAAGGCAATCCCAGGTAACACACAAATATGTTAATTGCTGAGTACTGTCTTCTTATGGCACTTAAAATCTGTATTTGTTTTCCTTCAAAGCTGTACAGGTAAAGTTTTAGTAATATCTGGGCTTGTTCATGTCTCAAATGCTTCTGGAGTAGAAAAGTAGAAAAAATACAGATGCAGAAATGTGTTTACTGCAAATTAGGTCATTTTTCTTGAACACTTTGACTTTTGGATCCTAAAGTTCCTATTTAAATGGAGATTTGTTTTAAAAGTAATATAGAGAACTATTTTTATTAGCTCTGTGTCCACTTTTTAGATCACAGAATCGTTTGGGAGGGACCTTAAAGCCCAGCACCCTGCTACGGGCAGGGACAGCTTTCACTAGACCACGTTGCTCCAAGCCCCATCCAACCTGGTCTTGAACACTTCCAGGGATGGGGCAGCCACAGCTTCTGTGGGCAATAAATAATTATTTTTTGAATCTTTTTAGCAAGTCCTCTTGACTTTTACAGACCAGCACTGCTGTACTGCTTCTCTGGGTCTGTGTTCATGGATGGTTCTTTTTTCACTCCCCTTCACCATATCTGCAGTTTTTTCTTGACTGTGAACAGGTGTTTGAGTGTCAAATTCCAGGGTGGAAGTCAAGATGTTCATTTTTCTCCCCAGCTCTGAGCAGCACAGTTAAACTGACTCTTACCTGGGGAAGGGGAGAGGTTTGTTGGTGTTTTGGCTCCCACCTGAAGGCACAGTTAGACACGGAAGGAGTGATATCATATCTCAGCCTAGGACATAACACATGGCATCTGTCTCAGGAGAGGCCAGGGCCAAGGATAGCTGAAGATCTGTTTATTCCTACAGAACAAAGACCAGTGTTTATGTCCCTCTCGCTCCTGTCAGTCCTGTTACCTACCTATTCTCAGAAACCCTGGCAAAAACACCTCCATGACGCATGTGTAGCCCAGAAATAACATCACAGAACAGGTCTGCCAAAAAAAAAAAAAGAAAGAAAAAAAGAAAAGAGTCTGATAATGAGATTTATGAATCATAATAGTGCCTCTTTGAGCAGAGGAAATAAATTAACAGTGGGAAAGAAAGGCTGGAAAACTCAAATATATCTGTATCCAGCAGATATGTGACTGGAGAGGTTTGTGTGTGTTCCAGTTGACAAGGTGGTGATTGGTCACAAGTTGGACTCGATACCCTTGGAATTCTTTTCCAACCTCGGTGATTCTGTGTCAAGGCTGTTCACACTGAGCAGTTACATGGGATTAGCTCAGTCTGCTCTAGGAGAGATTCACATGCACACACTTCCTTCTGGGACAGGTCTTTGAGAGACCATCTGGTATTCCCAAATCCAAATTTAGATTCCATTTTATAAAACACATCGTCTCTGCTGAACGGTTTTCCTAATTAGCCAAACCCTTCAGGTTAGAGCATATGCTCTCAATGGAAATGCCAATCTTCTCTTTAATAACTACATTAATAGCAACTATTCTTATCATTTTTATCTCCTTTCTTTTGTTGGCTGAGGCGCTTCCTCATGAGTGTTTAATTGTATATCCTGCTCCTGGTTGTAGCCCATCAGCCATGCTGATAGCACGCCAGCATTCCTTGCCAAATCCTTTCGCTGGGATTTCAAAATAATCTTTTCCTGAGGAGGGTTTGAGCACAGATTCAAGGTTTGACCCTGTAAGATTGGAATCGCTTTGAAACCCTTTGTATTTTTGAAGCAGTACCTGGTTGTTCCTGCTGTCTCCAAAGCCAGGAGCTGTGTTTGAAGCTGTCAGACGGACCAAGTTTGTTCTGTATTCATCTACTGGCTGCTGTCTGTTGGCACATCTTCAGGAAGCAGCTTTTTAGATGTTCTGAGCTCTTTAGATGTCAGATGCTTAATAAAATTAGATAAAATCAACTTGAATTCGGGCTCTAATAATGATTCAGTGTGGCATGATAGATTCCTACTAAATGTAGGCAGGATCTGATAGGAACTTGTTGTAAATCCAAAGCTGCCAGCATTTTCAGACTGTTTGAGGGACCATTTGTCAGATTTTACCTATTTCCTCCTTGCTGGCTTGGCTCTGTTCGTGCTGCATATGAGATCAGAAGCAGTTAATGCTGGTAACTAATGCAGTACTTATTTTGTAAGTTCTGTGTACAGTGGTTGAATAAGAGCAAAATTTTACAATTCGCCATTTATTGTCTGGTGGACTGCTCTCGTGAAAAGTAGGAAGCCCTGTTATTTTTGGAAGGCAGCCCAGTGAATTATAGTGTATATGAAATACAATTGTTGCCTCTATCTGACTGACCATCAGTTCTAGATAACCACATACACATATATTATGATTTTTAAATATTACATCCCCTTTTACTCCCTGTAGTGCTTATGCACTGATAAGACAGCAGTTGTGCTGCTCATAACTCTGGTCCTTTTCCAAGTCATGCAAGTTACAACTGACACCACCCCCCCCTCAATTTTTATTTTTCTAGGTTTCCGAAATTTGCACCTGGATGACCAAATGACCCTTCTGCAGTACTCCTGGATGTTCCTAATGGCTTTTGCTTTAGGCTGGAGATCCTACAAGCAATCCAATGGCAATCTCCTGTGCTTCGCACCAGATCTCATCATTAACGAGTGAGTAAGACCTGCCACAGCATTTCTGGGGTTTGCACTCAAGGGGTGAATCACTGGGTAACAAATCCTTGCTGAGATCCCAGATCTGCCTGTCATTTGCAACTTGTTTTTCTTTCAGCAGCTTGCTTAGCGTTTTTAACTTAAGTCAAATGAAAGAAAGGTAATTGAGATATTAAGTGTATTTATATCCAGGAGTTTTTGTGGGAGGTGTTTGTGCTTAAATGTTCCATATTGTGACTGTTCCAGCACCATTCACTAGAATCATTCATGTTATCAGAGCCAACACAGTCAGAGCTAAAAATATGTTTGGGATGGAGAGAAAATTTTGGCAAATTGCATAATGTTCTGTCTGTTTAGTGTATAAATGTGGCAGTATGGTCCTACCAGTTTCCCAGAGTTCCTGATTCCTTAAACATTTCTATCTGAGCCTGATTAAAGTAGGGCTGAAAAGACAAGGTTATAAGTGGAACAACCTGCCTGATTTATATTTTCTTGTTGAACTTTGTTATCAATTTTCAAGCAGAGTTGAATTTGGTGGAATATTTGGACTTGTATTTTTCTTGCACCACACATCATTATCCTTGTATTTTTCCAAATTTGTGTTGTGAAGTAACTACTGTAGAGGAGGGAAAGAGGGAATTTGGGATTGTTGAAGTGATTGCATCTAATTCATGTCTCTGTTCCCTGGCCTTACAGTGGAGGCAGTACCATTGGCATGCTTTGACACAGCCAAAATGTTTTTGGTTCTGTTGCACTTCAGAATCAAATCTCCCAGATATTTTCCACGTTAAAAAAAAAACATAATTGTTGCATTTTCTGTGGGATCAACCATTTACATTTCACACTATTCCTTTGTCATGTTTATTTATTCCCTTCCTTTATTGTTTCCTCAGCGTAAATATTTATTCAGACTTCTATAAACTATAATCATTACCTTATAATATTAACTTCAGAAAAAAGGTGTGCAGGAGATGGCAGGTGAGGGCCCATGTGTGTACCTGTTGTTTATTAAAGTGCTTAGAATGTATCTCTGGAGCAGAACAGTGTCTGTGTGGTGAAATTGAAATAACTGATGTTGTCACTAAGTGTAACAACATCTACTTTGCCTTACGTCAGAGGTCTCCTGCTGTTTTATCAGTGAATCAAAACCATAGATCTTCACAGCCAGGTGTTGATACTCTTAAAAAACACAAAACTGCAAGGCTAACCCTGTTATAACAAACAGTAATTCTCAAATTCCTTCCAGTTACAGTTTGGTACATAAATTGTAGATCAGAATGATGTTTGTTTTCAATAAAACACATCGACTGAGAGAACTGCAGTTTCTTTTCCAGTGGGCTAAAGGTTCTCCATAAAACTCTCTGGTCATAACTTTTTATGTCCCATCCCTCAATATAAAACAGAGCCACCTTGGAGTTCAACGTGGCAATCACTGACTAAAAATAAAACCACTGCAGGAGTTATAAGAAGGTTTTGGAGCAGGGAAAGCTGGAGGGGCACCTGAGGGCTGGGATGTTGGGCTGGACAGGAGAGGCATCCTGGCCACGTAAGCAAAAATGGACTTGGATTTTACTGCAAGAAGAAAAATGCCCTTGGATTTGAATGATCAAATGTGGCCATGTAGGATAGATCAGGTAATAGTTGGTATCTGACAATGGGGCAGGGGGATAACACAGACCAGAGCGTGCAGAGTTACTTCCATGGTTACAGAGAAGTGCAGTTACTTCTGGTTTAATTTTCAGGTTTCTAGAAATCATTCTTTCCGTTTCTGAACTTTAAAGCCTTGTTATCATATTAGGTACAATTCAGTGTCTTCAGCTTCAGGAAGGGAACTCCCATCTTGGAAGGGGCTCCAGGCCTTGGTGGTTCAGTTGGACCTAACTGCAAAATACTTTTTTAAGATTGATTTATTTATGGGATTAATTAGACTTTCTTTAGCTTCATATATCTGCTTAAGCATCTGAACAACATCAGTCTTTCATGGATTTATCCTTGGGCCAGCCCTGGCCAGTATCATCCTGTGTAGTTACTGTTTACTTACATGGAGTAGCAAGATCAGGTAGCTCATGCAGTCTGTGATGGGAAAGAGGATTAAATTCTGTTCTTCTTAAATCTTAGGATGGCAGCTTAACCATTTACTCAGTCTTCTCCTAAAAATTGAATATTTATTGAATATTCCACTTTTATGTCTGTACTTCTATAATTTATTTATTTTTTAATGGAGATACGTCTATACTAGCTGATAATATACGTGTTCACACACAAAACTCAGTTCAAGTTGTTGAAATATGGCAACTGAATAAATCTTAGGCTTTAGGCCATTATTTACTACTTGGAAATGGTTTAAACTTGTGATTTTGCAGTATTGTATAACTCTTTCCCCAGTCTGTGATTCAAAACATGCCCTGCTGGAACTGGCACTGGTGCCGTATCAGCTTTTGGCCTCTAGGTATGTCACAGTGTGCCCAAAACTACAGTGAGCACAGTGACAGTGCACAGTTTTGTTCATCAAGTAGCAAATGCCATTTAAGTGCTGCCCAGCTTGAGAAAGAAGTTCCTGTAAGTCCTGGGTCTCAGGATTTTGACTCCAGTTGCATGTTCATCATCACAGCTCCTTGCTCTGAGATGTGAGGTCACTTCCATGGTCTTGTTTGTCCTTCCAATCTCATCTGCCATACAATAGAATATCTGTATTGATGTATTTGATTAGAAAAATAACCAGTGATTACAGTTTTATAAGCAATGTTTTGTCAGTTCTCTTATTCCCCAAATTTTTTCCCCAGTGCTCTTTTGTAACTCCTTCTGTGGAGCCAGTGTCATCTGGTGTTCAGAACACCAGTGTCTTGTTTACTGGGTTTTAGTCTTTCACAGACTTGACTGAACTGAGTGACTCACAGCAGTGTTGAAAACCCATCACGTGCTTTTATCATCCACACACGTCCCCCAGAGCAAGCACACGTATATCCATGTGTTCCATGGGCTGGGCTGAGCTGGAACACCACCAGTGCCCCTTGGGGAGCTGGTCCCTAAAGCAGAGGGGTATTGGATACTTACAGAGCAGGGAGGTGATTCAGGTTGGACTCAAATGTGCTGTCACTACAGCAGGATGCCTTCACAGTGATCAAATGCTGCCAGTCACCTCTTTGAGGCTTTTTATGTGCCTGGCAGTAATTGCAGAAGCCTTGAGCTTCTGTAGCCCTGCCAGTGTCCCTGGGGAGCTCCTGAGGCTCCGTCCGGGCTCAGCAGCTCCTGAACTGCCATGGGGTGCAGCTTCCCTGGGATTGCTGGTCCTGGGTATCCCAGAGCTCTGCTTGAGAGCCAGCATGGTTCTGTGGGTAGTTTCAGCTAAGAAGGAAGCACTTGTGGTGTCCTCACTGAGTAGTACAATGCCTATTTTAATTAAGTATAGCACTGAGTTGAAGCATTACATGTGCTCTGTGTGTGGGTAAATTAATCCTTGGAGGTGGTAAATGGGCTGTGCAGGGAGGGGAACCAGGATCCTGGGCAGGCAGGGAGAGAGCCCCGAGCCCTGCCCTTCTCCAGGTCTGTGTCCGTGACCTGAGCCCTGTCCCTGGGCAGGCTCTCTGTGGCAGCTGAGATCATCTGATGTGCCCTGGCCAGGAGATCTGAGATGGGAATGGCTGGGACCTCTTCCCAGAGCATCTGCCAGCATTAAGGACGAGGCAGTGAATCAGCCTCCTCGTGCTCTGACACAGCCAGATCCGCAGCCTCCGGGGCACAGGGCAGAGCTCATCTGTGTGCTCAGACCTCGCTGAAGGGAGGGGGCTGTGCCTGCTCTCATTTTTTGAGAGCTACAGTTTGCATAGCCCCGGTACTGCCCAGAGCTGGCATGTCTTCCTGTGGATTCTCAGCCTTGTGGATACGGTTGCATTTACAGCAGACAGAAACAAACGACAGGCTGACCCATTTCATAATGTTTATTTTAACCTCCTGCCCAGAAATGGGCATAGTTTTACGTGAGGAAAACTGCTGAGCCCTGTCAGAGAATGTGTTTAAATTACTCAATTTCAAATCTCTGAGATGCCCTTTGATACAGCCCGGAGGGGTCAGGACAGCATTTGCCAAGCAGCCAGATGGTGGCTTTGTGTCAAGTGCCCTGAGAAACATCCCAGAGCCCAACATTGCACTTACTCCTGTTTCAAGCAGCTTTACCTTGTGTGCACTTTGTATTTGTGCTGCTACTCCTTGATTATGGAATCTACCGTAAGTCCAGTGTTTCTGGGTTCATGTGCAAGCCCACAGACTGTAGCTGTAGATACAGACACAGGCAGTGCCTGTTCCACTCGAAAGGAATTGTCTAACAGCTCCATTTGGAAACAGTGGGGTTTTACACTTGTGCTTGTTCTAGTTTAATACTGTTTCAGTAGCTTGTATTTCTGTCTTTCAAACCCCCTTGGAATTCCTATTCCCTCTGGTTTTTGCACCTTGAGAAAGGTGTAGTTCTTCTTTCCTGTCAGGGTTTTTTAAGATGCTTGTTGAGGGTGCATTGCATACTCCTCCTGCAGGGCTAAGGAAGGGATAACAGAAAACTGACCAGCTTTGAAGGAACTGTAGTTTCATAACCAAATCTTACTTTTAACTTTCACAGGGATCCCTTTTTGTCTCTGTGTAGATTTTAATATTGAATAGGTGATGACTTAGGAAAGGTGACACATTGTTAATGAGAAATAAAGTGCTGACATCACTGCAGAGAGACTGTGTACTCACTGCATGGGAAACAGATTATTTTGCCTGTCTTTACCAAAACAAAATCATGGAAAAGCATAAATCTGTCTTACCCTCTTCAGAACTAATCTGTTCTTCTTCATTTCCCACCCAAAACTAATTCTGTAATATTCACAGTACCCAATTGTTGTGTCAAATGAGGTACTACTAAATAAAAGGAAGTGTTCCCATCTTGATGCAAGGTTTTATTGAAACAGGGAAAAAACCCCAAAACAATATATAATGTATTATTCTGATTCCAAGATTTTCCTTTGATTGTCAACATGGCTTTCCATTTATGGTTAGAAACTTGATTATTACACTACAAAGGTAATGACATTTAACTGCAGCACTACTCATCACTTCATGAATGTGGAAGGATACAAGTGTAAAAAATTGAGAAGTTACAGAAGGTTGCTGCTGTCAGTACTGAGGAAATACGTATTAAATTGGGTGCATTTTGCAAAAGTATTTAAAGAATTAGAGAAATCTCATCTCTAGGGTAGCACACCATCATGTTTCGTTAGAGAGATGAAACACCTTGGGACTGCCAGGCTTGCAGATCTCTGTCACACCGTGAGCAAACGCGATTTTTGTGTCAAGTTTGTGCTGACGTCTGTTGATAACAGAGCTTTGCTGATGGTCCTTGGTAGAGACAGGCTCCCTTTGTGGCGCTGGGATTCAGCACGTCAGGCTGCCTCGTTCCGCAGTGCTGGGCCGTGTTTATCTGTGTAACCAAGGCAATCACCTCCGTGGGCTCACGAGCAAAGGGAGCGTCACTTGGCTGTGCGATGGCTCACGTACAGCTTATCGTCTGCCTCTGCGCCCCCCGCTGCTCTGAGCACAGCGTGGAAACCCAGAGGTGTAGAACCTCCAGGTACCTGGACATGTCACTAATTTCTGTGCTTTTATTCCTCAGGCAGAGGATGAATCTCCCATGTATGTATGAACAATGCAAACACATGCTTATGGTTGCCCGAGAGCTCTCACGGCTTCAAGTCTCCTACGAGGAGTATCTCTGCATGAAGACATTGCTTCTCCTCTCTACAAGTAGGTGAACAGCTCAATTCCCAGCTCTTGGCATTTATATCTACAAAAGTATGTGGTGGACTTGCAATAGATACTGTAAGATAGATTTATATAATATGCTGCGTGGTGGTTTTTATCTTTCAGTAAGATATGCTGGAGTAAAGTCACAACTTAGTAAAATTCTGTCTGTACTGCAGGAAAGGTCAAGTGTGGTGTCACAACAGTCCTTTTAGAATATACAGAAATAAACTAATATGAGACAACATAACTAATACAGGTTACTGTATGTAAATAACTTTTACAGTGTTATTTTCCCCCTCTGTTGACATCACTGTTACCCAGTGACTTTGTTTTTGCTGTGCTCTGTGGGGCTGTAGCTCCCTGAGGATCTCAGCTGCAGCCCTGGCTTGGCTGCAGTCCAGAGACTCACCCAGCAAGGAGCACGTGTGTGTGTGTGTGTGCCGGGAGTGGGTGTGAGCCGGGCACCTCGCCTCACACCAGGAAAGCCTGTGCCTCTGTGTCCTGGGAAATCCCATCCCACGGCCGTCACGGCGATCCCTGCAGTCCCACGGGGCTGAGGGAGCTGCCAACGTGCTCCTGCTTCTGCTTGTCAGATTGGTTTCAGTTCAGTGCAGTGACAGGTGTCAACGGGCTTGGGAAGAAGCAAGAGCAGCAGTGCAAGTCAGGATTTTTCAGCGTAGTACTTCTGCATGGGCTTCATCGGATGGTTTGGGCTGGAAGGGACCTTGAACAGGATGAAAAGTAAATACTATTGAGTTTAAAGAGTTCATTACACAGAGGGTGTAAACATTCCTTATCTCTAATATTTCCAGGGAATAACAGCATTAATTCTTCCAAAGAAATGAGAACTTGTTCACTTTGGTCTTTTCCCTGATAGGAGCAGGAGGAATGTGCACCCCAGCGCTGTTCACATACAGGGCAGGGAGTGATGGGTGTGGGCAGGGGCACTGTGGTGCCGTGGCCAGTTCCCCCCAGTCCGGTGCCTCAGGAGTGGTGTGGGGACCACTGGGCTGCCATGGCCCATTGCCCCCAGCCCAACACCCCATCAGCCTGGCAAGGCCCGGCACAGCCTCACTGCCAAGCCCAGAACTGGAACAAGGGCTCTTTTCACTGGAAACTTTCAGCCTCTCACAGCCGTGGGCTTTGTAGGAACTTAAAACCTCCCCAAAACTGCAGATTTAGAACATTTTCTGGTTGATTCTGAAATCTCTCCCAAAAATTCCTTGAGTGTCTCTGGTGTGGTGTAGGCCAACTTTCCTTACAGGAATTGGAAATTTCCTTAGAGAAATTTCCATGGCAGAAGTGGTGACAAGGCAGCGCTGGCAGATTTCAGCCCATTCAGGAGCGAGACCAGGCAGGCGCTGGTGCTGCCCCAAGAGGCCTCTCCATTTGATTTACAGTGAAAGACAATATATCTTCTTTTTTTTTTGAGTACATACATTGTGTAAGTGGTACATTGTGGAACTTCTGCAAATTGAATGGCTGAAAATTGTACAGCTCTTTAATCCACGACTTTGCAATTTTAATTGGTTTATTGTGTTTTTGTGTTAAGTTTTCCAAGAGAAGAGGAGGGGGAGGAGTAAAACAGGAATCCCACACAGGTCTGGACATGTAGCTCACACACAGACATAGCTCACAGACCTTTTACGTGTGAATTATTGAAACAACAGATGACTTGTTTCATCTCCTGCATAGGCAAGGCAGACAAGAGACTTCAGCATCTCTCAGAAGCTGACAGTGCAGTGAGGGTTGAATTTTCTGAGAAGGGGAATGTGCTGTATGGCCTCTGTCCTCTCTTGCTTTCAGTCGCCTTTGTCTCAGCTGTTTCTCTTCTCTGTCTTCAGCTCTTTCCATTCACTTCACCAAGGCAATCAAAGGCTTCAAAGGAAGGATGTTACGAACCACTGGAGTCCATGTTCTCCTTTGTCCGGGTTAGTCCTTGGCCTTTAAGGAGGACCATCCTCATAGGAGGATGTAGGCACAAGGACTTAACCTGGATTTGACTCCCCACACCTTACGTTTTTGACCCCCAGATCCTCATCTTCCCAGCACTATCTCCATGTCCCATCCCTATTCCAAAAAGCTCCGTCCATGCCCCGGTTCCTTCATGGCTTGGGCAGTCAGGTTGTTGTCCAGTCTGTCAGTCCTTGCCTGGATGCGTTACTTGATCCATGTCAGGAGGCTTGGAACTAGATGATCTTTCAAGATCCTTTCTGAGCCAAGCCATCCTGTGATTCTGCCCTTGCTCTTCCGCTGGCATGCAGAATTTTTATGGAATCTTTCTAATGTCACGTTTCCTCAGACATGGAGAACACGGGAACTCCAGTCCTGATGGTTCTTCATCAAGGCACTTCCAGGCCTCCATGGACTGATCTCTTCCCTCTTGGAAGGATACCTTTGGGGGTTTTAGTTTTACTTTGCAGCAGTCCTGTGCTTTTTATTCAGCTAGTCATCAGTCCCAGTTCCTGCTCTTTCCTTGTCTCTCCGCTGTCATTTCAGTCAATCCTAAGCCCTTTTTCTTCTGGTCATTTTCATGGAGTCACAGACTGGTTTGGTTTGGAAGGGACCGTAAAGCTCACGTCATTCCAACCTGGCCTTGAACACTTCCAGGGATGGGGCAGCCACAGCTGCTCTGGGCTGCCTGTGCCAGGGCCTCACCACCACATCACAGGGAAGAATTTCTTTCATATTTCTAACCTAAATTTCCCCTCTTACTCCTCGTCCTATCACTGCAGTTTCTGATGTAAGAGAACTTAAATAGTGACACAGTTCATAGTTTTATAATGTCTTAAAGGTTCGTATCAATGTTACAGTTCCCAAGGAAGGCCTGAAGAGTCAGTCTCTGTTTGAAGAAATCCGGATGACGTACATCAAGGAGCTGGGCAAGGCCATCGTGAAGAGGGAAGGGAACTCCAGCCAGAACTGGCAGCGATTTTATCAACTGACTAAACTGCTGGACTCTATGCATGATGTAAGTCCTGAAAGGAATGCTGTAGGCATTCCAGATAAATGTGTTGGGGCGGTGACAGTGATCTCCTCTAGGCTTTTATTATTTAAAGGGATAAATATCACGGGGGAGGAGGAGGTCATGCCCCCCTACTGTCTAACTAAAGGTGAATTGACAGCCATGAACATGCTTCTCTCAGGCTACTTCTGCAGTGGAATCCACAGCAATTAATTTTATAATTCATTTAATTTTCAACCTCTTTAGTTTTTAAAAATTATATTGCTTTGAAATGGAGGAACTCAGAAACTGTAAATAATTTGCAATAGTAGCAGAGATGTGAAGTTTAAAACCTACGTTGTCTCAGAGACAACTAGTAAAGAATTTATGGAATAGTTTGAAATAGCACTGAAATAATTCCTCAGTGCTGTGTGTGGTATTAGCAGGACTCATTTGGCAAGGAATTTCAGAATTCAGTCTGTCTCCTTTGGCAGTTTAATTCTAAATTACACAGAGCAGTCCAAGCAGTGTTTAAAACAGGAAACTTTGGGACCTCAAAACTACTGTTTTTTTATTTTTTGCTGTACCAGGCATCTGGAAAGATCTAATTAAGCTTATTCATGTATATGTCACTTATCTGCTGGAATGGGAATTGATACCAAATCTCTTTGGTGTTTGCATCTGTTTGTTTGGTTTATATTGGAGTGCCATTGACAAGAATTAATTAGTTAAATGAGGATACCTATGCCTGTCCTGTTGGAGCAGGAGGTGCTGGGTGGGTAGGGTTTGGGTGGGAGGAGGATGGATGTGAGTGGTGGTTCTGTTCATCTTCGTGTGCAAGTAATTCTTTGCCTTATCACTTGTAGGTGGTTGAAAATCTTCTGAGCTTTTGCTTCCAGACATTTTTGGATAAATCCATGAGTATTGAGTTCCCAGAAATGTTGGCAGAAATCATCAGCAATCAGATACCAAAATATTCCAATGGAAATATCAAGAAGCTCTTGTTTCATCAGAAGTGACTGCCTTAACACAAAGGGTTGCCTTAAGAAACCGTCACTCGATAGCTTTGTTTTGTAAAGAGAAAACCTACAGAACTTGTTCCTTTTGTCCTCGCAGCGGTGTTTCTTTTGTAATTATGCACTACATGTGGTTTACAGAGGGCCAAGAGTTAGGCTGGAGAAGCAGTGGATTTCTCCCATTTGGGAAAGAATTGGGGAGAAAGGAAAGGCAAAGAAATCATAAATCGTATTTGTAAGAAATTTTCTCTCTCCCCTCGTGCACCATCCCCGGATGCATCAAACCACCGGTGACAAGCTCTGAGGCTGTTACGAACATTCTGCTAATTAATTAATTGCTGCAGTTGGCTGGAGACAATTTTTTTAGGCTTTTTTTTTTTTTTTATTTTAGTAAAGTGTTTTGGATTTTTTTTTTTTTTTTTAAAGTTAAGGTAGCATTTTGGTTTATGCATGTAACCTGAAGAAAGTTTACAAGTGTATATCAGAAAAGGGAAGTTGTGCCTTTTATAGCTATTACTGTCTGGTTTTAGCAATTTCCTTTAACTTTATATACCGTGAACTCGGCTTGTTCATTTTTTCTTACATAATTTTTTTGTAATACTTCAAGATGCCTATTGTACAGCTGGTTTTTTAAGGTGGGGCAGCTCGTAGCTTTCCTAAACGACCTCTAGACAGTAAATCCTCGAGTAGATTCGTGTGAAAAAGGGTTGGGCTTTTCTAACCTAATCGCTTTCAACTGTCAAAGCGGCTACAAAAATTTGGCTTTTTTAAAGGGCCAGGGTGGGTGGGAGAACACTCTCAAATCTCATTTCAGTAGATCCAAATGAAACGAATCCTTTTGGTATATTGCAGAAATGTTGGATATGCAGATTCATAGAAAATTAACCCAGTCCTCACTGGATGTAAATGAGCAGGTTATTTTATATATTGAAAAAAAAAAAAAAAAAAAAAAGAAGCCTGATTTTTGCATATGATGCAACAGCCATAACGCAAAGAGTCATGGGCTGCATTGATGCCAAGAAGATCAGTCCTGACTGCCCATCAGGAAATTTTCATGAAAATATGCATAGCTTCAGAAAAGTTTACTACTGTGTGGAGAAACTCACATTTTCTATACACTTAAACCTGTCATCACACGAGTATATCTGGAAACCCCCACGGACAGGGGAGGTGGACATGTGATTGCACCCAGTGGTTTGGGTTTGTTCTCCTGGACGGATTCCAGAGTCCTCCTCTCCGGGGAGATGTCCGAGCGGCCGCACGGCTGTGACTGGATATCCCAGCTCCAGACTCACCTGGTTAGAGACCCAATTCCACATCTCCACCCGTCACTGACTGCTCCATCCTCTTTCCTGGAGAACAGGAAAGCTCCGCTACTGAGTTCGTGGTCTTAGAGTTGTCCGTCAAACTTTCTGTCTTTGTAAGGCTGCAGCCCTTCACACTGAATTCCTGGCGTGCCATAAATTCCCATAGGCCTTGTGGATTTCTCCTTGTTGCCATTGATAAGGATATTTTCCGACGTTTAGAAGCTGTAGTAGCCTTTTCTACGTGCACCTTAACAATTTTCTGTATCTCAAAATTGAAATATTTACTAAGCCACTCTAAAATTTGATTTTTACTCAAAGTGGCCAGATTATTTGTGTAATAGAAATGAGAAAGATCATCTGAGAAAATACAAAACCTAATATATTTTTATATTTAGTTATAGTTTCAAATATGTATAATCGGTATATTCGCTGATCCGAGAAAAGAAGGGAAGGGCTACTGCAGCTTTAAAAGCAATTTATTAAATGATTGTAAAATAAGCTTGTATAGTGTATAATAAGGATGATTTTTAGATGACAGATTGCTTTATCATGATACATGTAATTATATTTTTTGTAGGGGTCACAAATAGATGAGTGGGAACCCGTTCTGTGTGGTTTGGCTGGAGGCAGCACCGGAGGCATCGGTGTTCGTATCCAAAGAAGTGCTTTGTTCCGAGGGGAAAACCTGTGCTCCGTGGGTGTTTGTAGGGTTGGGTTTGTGTTTATTGAATCACTGTGTAAAAATTCCTGTTGGCTTTGGGGTGGGATGCTCCTATCTGTATGGTCGGGAACTGCTCCCGAGGCATGGCTGAACCAGAGCCCTGCTGCAAAAACCGTCAGCCAGGACACCCAGCTCTGAACTCCCCCCGGGGGAATTTCATACACAGCCTCGCTCCCACAGCAAAAACAGCTTCAAAATTGGGCAATAATCCACATCCAGGTGCCAGCAATATGTAAATACAGAGCATGGGGTGTCCACAGCACATTTCTACTTTCAGCAAACATTGGTTTCCAACTGAAATAGGAAACTCAAATTCTCCTTTCTTAAATCTCTTTTTGAATGCTATACCTATTAAAAAGGATCCTATATTCAGTACTTTGGAGTAAAATAGCACCTTTAATAAAAGAAAATAATCATTCTCTCCTTTGATCTGTACAAAATATGTGCATTTTGTAACAGTTAAAGGTCGGATTTTTTAATTATGACATCCAGCCCAATTCCATGGGAATCCTCATGCGCCCGGTTGCGATACAGATACAGATAGGAGTTTGGTGCTGTTGGGTTTTGGGGGGGCTCTTTGGTTCAAAGGAAACCTGTTGTTACTTTTGAGAATGTTTTATAAACTTGTATCCCCAGAGCCCTCGGTCGGAGCCTGGGGCACAGCGCGGGTCGGGGTGCACGGACCCCAGACTTGGCATTTTTGCCAGCAAAAGCAACTGCAGTGAACTCCAACAGATGATGATGGAGTTGGGGGTTGGAACTGGATGAGCTTTAAGGTCCCTTCCAACCCAAATTCTGGGATTCTGTGATCCCCCTGTGAGAGAACTGGTCACGTAGGAGGAGAGGCTCTCCGCCCCTTGTGTCTGTTTGCCTGTATATTCATTTTTAGTCTGTGGATTTAAGGAAAAACAAAGGAAACTGTGACGTTAGAGAAAGAATCGTCCTGTACGTGCTGTTCAGTTCTAAACTTCACCAGTGAGAAAACGTAGTGCTTTAGTCAGCAGTGAGAAGTCCATGTCCTGTTATCCGTAGTCCGTGTAGCAGTGGGTAGTCCCTGCACTCTGGATAAAGCAGGGAGAATTCTGACTTTGGCTCTTCAGTGCCTTATCACAAAGTGCACGGATCCGCCCAGGGACGGCGGGGGCAGCTCAGGACGCGCCGGGCGCTCGCAATGGCCTTACGGGGGGACACCGGGACAGGGGGGCGCTGGGGGGCAGCCACGAGGGAGGGCAGAGGGAGGGGGGCTGGGAATAGGTGCCAATTGATGCCGAAAAATGACCTCGCCATTTTCACAGAGGGAGGTAGGAAAGAGGAGGAAGTGCCTGGATGGACGTTGGCTGCGGGAGCATCCCGTAGTCAAGTTTTAGCGAGGGAGGACTTCAGGGACATGACTTAGAGTGAGATTTTATAAAGATTGTATTATTCTATCCCTGGAAGTGTTCAAGGCCAGGCTGGATGGAGCTCTGAGCAACCTGGTCTAGTGGAAGGTGTCCCTGCCCATGGGTTGTAATGAGATGGTCTTTAAGGTCCCTTCCAACCCAAACCAGTCGGGGATTCCATGATTATATACCAGTCACGCTCTATCCTTCGCCCAGTCTGCAACCAGGGGTTGCTGAGCCATCGACATCACATAGGAACCAAATTTTCCAGGAAGGTCGAGAGCCTCTCCAGCCGGAGGCCTCGTATCCAAGGAAAGGCTGTGTGTGTGTGTTTGTGGAAAACACCCCACCTCCAACAACCTGCACAACAGCAGAGTCAAGCGATGGGTCATTACTCTATTTTGTATATTAAACAAAAAGATATATACTGGGGACAAATCCTATATCATACCGGTGTATGGCATTATTAAAAAAATCATTATTTTTATCACAGCGATTTTAAACAGCATAAAAGAAAAGAAAAAAATTAAACCAGTGACTCCTGTTTAAAAATAAAAGTTGTAGTTTTTTATTCATGCTGAATAATTCTGTAGTAACAAGTCTGTAGTTTTCACCTACTCAGTGAAATGTTGGACTGTAAAAGCTTGTGTGGAATTGTTGAACATTTATTTTTTCATTTAAATTTGCTGTTCTGGTAATACAAAGCCACACATCTGTACAGAAGTTGCAGTAAATGTGAGCCATTTACAGCAATGTCGAATAATGGACAGAAACCATATAATAAAATTCTGCTTTTTTCATTAAATGGCTCCAAAATGCTTTTGTGGAGTTTTTGCTGTGATCCTGGAGAGGGTTGGGTCCAACAGGGAGTTGGTTCATTTGTGTTGGTCTCATCATTCACCTCATATGCAGGAATCATTTGCACTGGAGTGAATTGCCACTGTAGAAGTTCTGGAGCAGGAGAATTTCTGATCGTGAAGTTCAAATTAACAATTTAATTGAAAATCACATGTTTTGCCTTTGCATTCTAATGTCTGTTTTCTGGAGGAAAATCCAGAGCAGGAATGTGCCTTGGAGCAGCCTGACCTGTGCCCACCTCAGAGAAGGGCTGAAGCTGCCGGGACAGTTCAACTGAGGAAAACAGCACAAAATGTTTTATAACTAAATAAAGAATTGATTTAGGTTCCCAGAACAGCTGCAGCTGCTCCATCCCCAGAAATGTCCAAGGCCAGGTTGGATGGGGCTTGGAGCAACCTGGGATAGTGGAAGATGTCCCTGTGCATGGCAGGGGGGGTGGGACAAGAGGAGTTTAAGGTTTCTTCCAACCCAAATCACTCTGTAGTTCTATGGTTTAAAATATAGTCTGTCACTGCAGTGGTTCTCAACTCTCTGATATTTGTCAAAGTGTGATGAAAGCTCCTTCCCAAGGCAGGTACCTGATGCTAAATATTAGTGATGGAAACAAAGTGTGCTACAAAGTCTTGGTCATCGCCTGGGGGAGGGTGTGGATTGGGGTGGGTGTTCTGGGCAGGGGATAGGTTATGGGAATCCAGCCTAAGGGGTCCTGTGCAGCAGGATTATACCTTCCCAAAGGCAGGATTTAACCCAAATTGTGAAAAAGGACTTCCTGTATCAGCAACACTGAAAGGTACTTCTGTCTGGATGTGACATTGCACTTGGTTCCAGAAAGTCTCAGCCCCAGAACAGAAAATGATGCCATGAGGTTCCTTCCCTGCCATGTGGCTATTGGAGTTTTCAAATATCAATGTCTCTCCAACCCATCAATAACTCAAACCTCAGCACAGCTCACGCCTTTACCCCCTGAGCAGCAGAGTGAATCGTGCTGTAATAAAATCTCACTTAACTGCAGCGTAAAAGGCCGAGTTCCCAGCAGGGAATGATTTCTCTGAATTGTTTGCAATTAAAACAAAGCTTACATAAATTTCCCTTCGGTAATTCCCAAGCTGGATGGCTGTGGATGGGGGTCAGAGGCAATACAAGAATGGGATTTATGATAACCACGTTTATTTGTGAAACAATTGTGGAAAGATTCTTTAAAGAGCGACATCAGACATTAGGATAAAATAACTGCTCTGTGGCTCATGAGCTCCAGCTTCATGGCAAGTGCATCAAGTCCTCGATGTGTTCACGGTCCACATGAAATCCCACTTGTCCCATTCCATTTATGAAATCATTGACATCAAAAACATCTGTGGAGCAGGTTCTGATTCCTTGCAGGGTTTCTGCCCCTCCAGTGCTCTGTCCCACCACGCTGGCCGTGGCTGGAGCGTGGCCACGGTGCTGCCCTGCCCTGGGAGGGTGGGTTGGGGGCCATGGGGCTGCAGCCCCTCCTCACCTGCTGCCTTACTTTGCAATTAGTTGCTTTCTGGAGCTCTATCCTTAGCTTCCAAGAAATTCGGATGAAGCCCAGCGTGAGATGGTAACTCATGATTTCTGTTGTGTTCACATTATCCCAATAAAACAATGGCATTTCAGACTGGTTTGGAAAAGACGCCATTAAATGCCATTTTTACAATTTTGACATTTAAGATTTGAGCTCTTGAGTTTGTGTTTGTCCCTGGGATGGTCCCCAGCAGGCCAGTTTGTCCATGGTTGTCTCCCCTCTGCAGTGGGAGCTCACAGAGCTGTGCCATGTAATGCACAAATACTGGGATACTGCAGAACAGGAGACTCATTGCCTGTAAATTACTGGTTATTCCAGAGGGGCTCCCAGACGTTCCCAGTGTTCTTATCATGATACCATCAGGGACTAGACTGGGAGGGAACCCAGGACTCTGCAGGTTCAGGTCCTGCAGTGCTGCTGTAGGGATCCAAACCATTTCAAGTCCCTAAATCCAAGATGTAATCATGCCTTCAGACCCAGCTGGCCCTCATTCCAGGGGTGTCTGCTGGTACCTGTGCCCATCTTGGCACCAATTGGATGCTGAACTGCACAAGGGCTCTGGCCAGATCTGTTTCATGGAACCACAGATTCATTTGGGTTGGAAGGGATCTTAAAGCTCATCTCATTCCACCCCCTGACATGGACCTGGACACCTTCCACTAGACCAGGTTGCTCCAAGCCCCGTCCAACCTGGCCTTGGACACTTCAGGGATGGAGCAGCCACAGCTTTTCTGAGCAGTGGTGGGGTCACATGTCAACAAGTGTGATTCATTTCCTTGTCAGGGTTACAGATAATTTCAATTATCGGTAGACCTGAAAATAATATATCTACTGCATGTCCATTTTAAAATAAAACCCTGTAAATATTGAACTTGTCAAAGTGAGACTGGAGGAGCTGCAGGGAGAGGAACCCTCTGAAGACATTAGAAGTTCCCTGATGTCCAATGCCCAAGTCCATGGAAAAGCGGACAAAAATCAACCTGGAGGAGGGGTAAATATCCTTGTCCAATCCATCACAGGCCTGGCACAGCTCCAAAGCATAATTAAGGATATTCTCCGAGGTCACAACAGGGAACTGAGTTTACAAAATAACGAGTAAGTGGAGTCCTTCTAATTATGGGATCTGCTGATTGGAGATCAAACCACATGAAAAGGTAGGGGGAAAACTGCTGAGGCAGCATCGAATGTGGGCAGTAATTGCGTGGCTGATGCAGGAGGATGGGCTGAGACTGGGAAAAGTGGCCTGGTGAGCCCAGTGACGGGCACTGGGAACGGGGGATGTGTCCCCAGGGAGTGGAGCATGGAAGAAATGAGTCCCTAAGGAGCTGAGCACAAGGGGGATGCATCTCCAGGGGACTGGACACGGGGGACTTCATCCCTGAGGAGCTGAGCACAGGGAACTGCTGCAGAGCAGGGGTACAGGCAGTGACACAGGTCATGGGGAGAGTGCTGATCCTGCTGTCCCTATCCCCCCAGGGTGACTGCCTTGGCCCCAGTGTGCCCACATCCAGGCTCCTGCAAGAACCCATCCGAAATTAAACCCCAGCGTTTTTAATTCCTCATTTCTCTCACACCCTTTCCTTTTTTTCCCCTTCTTGGCTCGCAGGCAGAACTTCCACAGCTGAGCTGCAGCCAAGCTGCACG